ACTGAGACCAAAATATAGGTCACAACAACTTAGTATAAATAACTAAATTATCTGTATTATTTCTTTAAGTGTATAGGAAAAAAAGGCAATTTTAACGTCAAATCTATCTGTGAGACGACTACGCAAAAAAGTCTAACACTCTTGCTTGTCATACAAAAAGCCCTATAATCTAAAATGTTCCCATAAAATTTGTAATAAGATTGTCAAAGTCAAATAATTGTAGAGAAAAAATAGGTTATAAGTAATTCATGCCCTACAAGGACATAGACCAAATCCCTCATATTACCAGCCAAACCTCGTGCCGTATTATAGGAATTAAAAGCAGCAGCAGCAACGACAATGAAAGCAACAAATTCTAGCTCACAAATACCTGCGGATGGGCCAGAAATAAAAAAAGAAGCTGACAGAGGATAGCGGACTGGGAGGGGGGACTTAATGAGCCATGATGCCGTTGGTAAAGGTATCAGTTGTGGAAGCAATGAAGGAAGAATCCTAATTGGAGCAGGCAAAATATGGCGAAGTATAGAATCCAAACAAATCCCTAATCATGCGAGATGAAATAAACAGTTTAGTTCAGTCAAGCTCAAAGACAAGACAAGTAAAAGAGAACAGATGCCTTAACAGCAAGTGTGTGAATAAGTAAGTTTATGTCAGTGTGTTTGTGATATCCGTTAAAGTGGAGAAATAATTTTAACTGGGTGCAAGCAATTGACAGCCTATTTTTATCAGCTTTATCAGGGGCTGCGATAGTGTACATACATTGGTCAGAATAAGATGATAATCAGAAAAAGAAAGAGGGACACGTGTGAATAATGAAGAAAAGTTTGAATTTTTTGTATAGAGTAAGATGGCAATGCGTAAAGCGAAGGATGATGATGAAAGAGATGGAGAATTATATAGAAATAAAAACTAGTAAGCAACGACGATTAATAAATTTGATTGGAAGAGAATTCACGGCTAAGAGAAATAATCGGAAGGTAAAAAGTGTGGTTAAAAAGATAGCAATGGTTAGAGCAATGAACATATAATCTGTGATTAGAAAGGATACCAAATGCCTGGATATAAGAATTCGAAGCTTAATGATTGCAGAGACAATTCAATCCGACCAGATAAACACAATTTTCTTTTCGTAAGTCTCGAACTGCACTTCACTAGAACATGCCAAAAAAATAGAGGTGCCTTACAAACCATATATTCATTGTCGGTATCATTGGCCAGAAAAGTTTGCCGGCATAAATACTTGTGAGTGATCTTTTAGGCTCTGCAAATGAGAAAGATGGCTGTACTGAGTCGCTTAGGTTCAAGTACAAATTCGGCACTAAAAGCAATGAAATTTTTACATTGGAAGGGATTTAAGACTAATGCATAGATCTTTTTAACTAATTGTACGCAAATATTTGGTTGATCTTGTACAGTCAAAGTTAAGCAGAGCAAAATATCCAGGAAGATGAGTTGGGATTAAAATACTGGACCTGGCTGATAGTCGTCAAAGTAGTGTACAAGTTGCCTTCCTATTCATATAATAAAAAAATAGCCCTCCTAATTAAAAGAAAGCTATGTGGCATTTGAATGAATATAATAAAAAAATAGAAGAATGAATGATTATGAGGGTGATAATGAAGTATCAGTGTCAAAACTTAAGCTTCGAAAGTTGAAAACACAAATGTGTTGGGTTAACAGAACATTGCACCGAGAACCTCCTCGCAGAAATTCGCATATGACTCTATGACACCCCTCCTTCGATAATGGTTAGATCAGTGTGATAATTCCATATACCCGCATTTTTAAAGGGAACTTCGGGTATAGCAACAATAAGTATCCTCATAGATGTGAGCTAAAGAGCAATAGCACTAGGTAAACATGGACAATAGCATGGACACAATCCCAGAAAAACAGGCACAAGTTTCACACTTAAAACAAACGACTCGACTGCTTAACCTGATTAAAATTTAATGTTTACATGACGAAAGACAAGAGAAGTAGATTTAAACAGAAAGATAAAGAGAACAAATCGAATGAAGTTGCGGACAAACAAAGTGGCTTCGATAAACTTACAACGAAGGTCGGAGAGAAAATGACGTCCTCTAAGAGTGATGTAATTATATGATTACTTAAAATCCATTAGCAGATCCCTCTAAATCAATATCAATAGTATCAACAGCTATATGGAAGTAATAAACGACACGGACTGAGAGGCATATACTAAGTTAACAGCGATGCGTGCATCCAAAGGACGGACTAACTGATGGATATCTAGAAAGTTTACCAAATGGAATAGGCATAGGAGCTTAAAAAATAAACACTGCTATTTTTCAAAGGTATTGTAAATACACTATCAACTTATCGGAATTGAGCAGGTCTCCAAAGCAAGAATAGATGCAGTGAATTAGCAATATCACAGCTGTATTGAAAAAGATGTGCCGATTGCATTCGAAAATATTTCCGAGTCAAAAACCGGAGTAGTCAGAATAGAGGTAGACGAAAAGCATGACAAGGGCAACAGTAATAAAGCATTCGAAAAAATTCCGGCATGAATAATAAAAAGAGCCATTTTGAGGATTGTATGAAAAGCACAACTTGCAGTAACCCAATCGTTTACGGTTGGTCAATTAGTTAGTTACAATTGGGTGCTTGAAAAAGAAAGTTATGGGTGATCACGGGTATTTATTCGACGTGCCCTAACACAAACCGGAAAATGACTGGACTTTAAAAGTGGATGTTAAACATAGGCGACAAGAAAAGATGAAAAAAAGTCGAGCATGACATAATTTAGACGACAATCAGCACCTGTCAGTCCGAGTCGATACGCCCACAACCAGGTATTGCTAAATGGATATCCATTAAGAGGATCCGTGAGATTGCCGTCCTGGTTTGTAAATTTATTTGAATAGGAGAAAAAGTTAGAGCGGCGATAATGTGAATCAACTACGGGAAAATTTGGTGATGAAAAGATTGACTATTTCATAGTGGAATCTCTTAGAACGTTGCTCAAAAAGCATACAAAGATTAAGGTTTGGTGCGATTAAATAACAAGGTAAAAGAAAACGAGCAAACATACGAACAATATTCGAGAGAGTGGTGTAAACCTAAACATAAAGGGATTATTCCGTTTTTTTAGAAAATAGATTATACACCAATATCTCTTATCTTATTAGGAGTAAGCAAGTCGCATTGTAAGTCCTATTTGAATCATTCTTTATAACCAGAATTAGAGGTTTAATAAGGAAGCTAGGATCAGGAATATCACCAAAACGTCTGAGTGGATGAATCCTAACAATTTTATACATATATTTAAGTAAGGCAACTAAATAAGGAAGACCTAGAGGATCTTGTAATATTAGGCTTCTAAGCTTAACAACCCAAAAAGATTTAAATGAGTAAGATAAAGTAATACAATTAATGTTAAAGTACCTTTCGATTTGTTAGAAAAAGGGAGTGGAATGGATTCGTAAGTTGGCCTTACCGGAAGCTGTAGGGGGATTATCTTGGAGCTGCGATTAGAGATTTGTGCGAATAGGTCTTCGGCGCACGGCCCAGCGACCCCGATGAATCCTTGCTGAGCTCTCGTCCGTCATGTGACGAACATCGTCAAATCAGGAAACAATTCTTAATGATACTTCACCGAAACACGAAGGCAAGAAAGGAAGCCGGCTTTAAATCTACCTACTTATTTTAGTCCAATTTGGTCTACTTAATTAGGCATCTCGTCTTTGGGTTGAATATCCTATGCTTTACCCACAATGCTATTGGATAATGAAGTTGCTGCAAATAACATGTAAAGTGACTGCAGATGAAGCGTCAAACGGGTAAAATTGTGACCGAGCAGCTGCGTCTCCCCTTAACCACTTTTATCTTTGATCCTGCAATATTATTGCATGTAATTGAGTTCCATTGCACGCGTATGTATGCGTGTATGCATTGTTCTCTCGCACAAGACAGCAAATAGATTGGTCTAATACCAAACGTTTAGATGGACATGGAGACTGTACCAACCAGTAAGTGGAAGATTAAAGAAACCAGAGAAAGCAAACAAAACAGACAACACACCGTATAGAAAGAATGTGTAGGAAGTTAGATGGAAGCTACTTGTGGCTTTTGGATAGGATTAGAGAAAGAAAGCGGGGAACGAGAAGTACAGCCGAGCCAGAGAAGGAGACTTGATTAGGCTTAATTCTGCTTTCGATTCTCACATCACACTCATTTCAGGAACAATGTATTCACACAGCGCGCGTATAATGGAACGCAATCACATGCAGTAACAGTGCAGAATCAAAGATAAAAGTATTTAAGTGGAGGATGCAGCTGCTCGTTCACAATTTCACCCGTTTCACGCTTCGTCTGCAGCCACTTCACATGTTATTTGCAGCAACTTCATTTTCCAATAGCATTATGATGAAGCATAGGATATCCAACCAAAAGACGAGATGCCCAATTAAGTGGACCATATTGGACTAAAAGAAGTAGGTAGATTGAGGCCGGCCACCTTTCTTGCTTTCGTGTTTTGGTAAATTATCATATCAAGAATTGTTTCCTTATCTGACGATGTTCGTCACATGACGTACGAGAGCCCAGCGAGGATTTATCGGGGTCGTTGGGCAGTGCGCCGAAAGCCTATTCGCACAAATCTCCAATCGCAGTTCTAGGAAAATCTCCCTACAGCTTCTGATGAGACCAACTTACGAATCTCTTCCAATTGCCTCTTAAAACAAAATGAAAGGTACTCCAAGATCAAGCTATTAAGGTACTCTGCGAAACTCAGTTTTTCTACGTACCTTCGTGATACAATAAGGTTGCCATAGCACTCAAGTTATATGCCTAAGTAGCATCTAGAAAAAATCATTGCAGAAGCTAAACTGAAAATAGCGAACTAACCCAAAAGACCCGGATGGGAGCGAATGACGTTTTCGAGAGCTAGAGGCTTGTAAAAGTCTAGTAACGACGTCCTTCTTCCGTCGGCGAAGAGCACCGAAGGAGCCAGATAATGAAGGAATATTTGAGCCAGAGGCATCTCCACCAGACCCACTTCCACCGACATCTCCAGTCATTTGACTTTGGGAAAAGGCGTTCGCATTTGGCTTAGGGAAGTTTTGAGATGTTGGAGCAAGATTAACATCATCTCGACTACTCCGACGAGACAGGAATGAGCTAATTGATAGCAAAACGGAGTGAAAGGGAATGGAAACGTTAAATTACTAAGGAAAAAAAGATTATAAAAATAAATATAAAATATTTGATTTGTATCTAGCAAATTGAATCTTAATTTGAACACTACGAAAGGAAACACTTTACAAGACAACGTATCTGAGAAAAAACAATCTTTCGGAATAAACCTCAGGATAGTTTCATTGGTAACTCAAGCGTCGGAGGGGTTTCCTCCTTGAACGAGATTCACTCATATTTGCGATACCATATTCCTGCTGGCAGTGACTTTAGTGCAAATAAATCAACGATACGAACCATATTACTAAGCCCAAGAGTTCGGGTATTCTTGTTTAATAATCAGACCAGAAGAATTAAAAAGCAAATATGAAATGGAGGTATAGAAAATAAAGATTATTCCAAGACGGAGTTGGTCAATATGGCTGACCCTAATTACTCAGACTATCTGTATTTCAGTGGGATATCTGCCTTTATTTAGATGATATTGAGATATAGACTTCGGAGTACACCGTGTGTCTAAATAAACTTTCACATTAAGGGAAAAGGACCTTCCTGGCAAGACGGATACCCAGAAGTGCAGTAGCAACTCGCTGGATGTAACAGAGTGAAATGAATGTTGCATACTAGATGTAGAAGACTAGTGGGAAGTCAGAGGATAAATTTTCATCAAAGAATCAAAACTTGTTGTGCTGAAGAAAAGTGTGCTTTTGAATGGCCTCGATAAACTAGATGCAAATAGCAATCGGGTTTGAACATAGAATGTTACATGCTAAAGTATGCAATAAAAACATTGAAAAAAAATATATGGAGAGAATAAAATTGATAAGGGGTAAGATGAAGAGAAGAGGTAAAGAAAAGAGAGCGTCGATATAAAAGTGAGACTAGAGTTTGGGGTAAAATAAACAAAGTACAGTAAAATATATATTGAAGGATAATAAACATGGCCCATTGGGATAGTTTGAAAGACTACCATGTTAAGATCGGTGCAAAAGATATTAGGGCCTAATCAAATAAGTGACCAAATTTCCCATTTAAGACCACCGGTAGTAGAAGGGAATCACAGCCCCACAATTTTTTACAGCTGTATGCACATATCTATGATTATATGTATGTATGTATGCATGTGGGTAGGTAGGTATGTATGTAGGAATATAAGATTAATGGGCTAATAGCAACCGACATATCAGTAGCTTAAAATAATGAATAAGAGAATGAAAAGTAAAGTGGAGCGAAGAGTATCAGTTTGACGAGAAAAGTTTAAGGTCCACAGTAAATGTAAAATCGCAGTTTCATACCATAATTTTCTCCTATGGAGATAGTGCATGCATGCATACCCCTCTTAAAGTTAAAAACACTTTGCAATTTAAAATCGAACTGCCGACAGAAAAGGTATTAGCCTAAAGAGTAACCTATGAACGATAAAGAGAAGACTGTTCGTCCTTCGTACATAATAGGCTGCGAATTTCGGGCCAGGAGCTGTGAAAAGCAGACTTATCGACGGCTAGTCAAGGTACCCTACTTAAGAGCCGTTTAATGCAATTCCTGAGCTGCACCCAGGATCCAATGTCCAGGTGTGCCCCACACGCAGAGCGCGATGGCCGTTAGAATGAATGAACTGCAGAGAGCTCATTCGAATTTGTAAAGACCATTAAGTGTAAACAAAAACCAGATCAACTCAAAGTAGCTGCTCTCTTAGATAAAACAGACTAAGACGAAGAAGGTCAAGTGTGGCCAGTGCGAATATCGGCTTTTCTGGCCTAAAGTAGAGGAGGCTAGGTATGCAATCTGAAACAAAGGCGGTCCAAGTGACCACTAGCCAATTCACAATGAAGTTTAGCTGAGCATTAGTATGGTTCATTTTGTGCATTTTGGTCAGCAGCAAAATTCAACCAAACTTCAGTGCATTGCTAAGAAAAGACTTGGGAACAAGATAGACAAAGGCAAACATATTTAGCATTAAAAATAAATCCTCTACTCACCTCCAGCCAGTGAGACCTAATTAAATGAAAATATTCATCAACCAAAACATCGAATCATATCATGGCAATGATAGATGGCCATTTAACACCAGAAAGGTTGATTAATAATAAAGCTCTGCCAAAAATTTCAAAAATGATCAGATCAAGAGATTCTGTAGCGAAGATATGCTTAATACTCGAAAAGCGGATTCTAAAAATTAGCTCGTTTTTGTAGACCTGATTCGGTTTAGGCGTTAAAATAAAAAAGTTCGAAACGCCCAGGCCGGGGAAGCAAGCAAGCAGGCTTTATTAAAATAGGAGTTCATTAAAAGCAACAATGAACACACACTATGAGAGAGGGCCCATTAAACTCGACCGATATTTTGAAGATCCCTTGTAGAAATTAGAGGCAAAAGTGTAATGTATGAGAAGAGCATTACCAATAAAAGTGTATTTGCGAAAATACGGAAGGCGACATAAAGAAAAGACTCATACGGTGAAAACGCAAGAAATTGGAAAATTAAGAGTCATTGGCATCCATGCGGAAAAGGAGATTGGAAGAAGGCAGAGTTAGCGATGACTTTGCCTATTGCCTAAGCAGACTCGGAGAAAACAAGAATACATGACAAACAAAAAGAATACGCAAGAATCAAAGATCT